CATTATGCCCCCCCCCCCCATTATGTCCCACTCTAATGCGACCGGTGGGTCAGAAAACACCCTCGGCAGAACAACCAAGTCGATCAGAGCAGGTGATTTTTTTTGTAGGCATTTTAAAYCAGATGTGATGCATGATTTGCATCTAGGGACCCACAGCTCATTACATATTAATTTTGGGGTTTCTGGGACCTTCCTATAGGGGAGCAGGCAAGCTTGATCTAAAGTCCAAGTTTGGGACATTTAGCAACCTTCAGAGTGGCGAGTTCACGATTGCCAAATGTCCCATTCATTGACAGAGGGAGACACCCTCTATGTAACCGTGTTGTCCCTGCTCTTTTCGGATGTTTCGGCCATAAGACAGGAAAGGGGGCATTTTGGCRTTGGATCGGAGTTAGCATTTCACAAAGTATTGAGGCAGGTTGTGTTATTTGTACTTTGGCCTAAATCTGAGGACGGGGAGGGGAGAAGTAGAAGGTGTGGTGGCTTTGGGATGTTTAGTAACTGTCAGAATGGCAGTAAGTAGCCTGGTAAAAATCAGCCCCTTGTTCTTTGCATTGTTTCATACAGAGGGTCTGGACTCTTGGCTATTGAGAAATGATTGCTTGCTGGAGGCATGGACTCCAGCAAGTGTTGAAGTTTCAAACGATTGGATCWGATTTACCCAATCGCTAACGGTTGGCCACGACGTATGCAGTGCCACAGCTCCACTGTGAAGGAGGCTAAGCTAAGGGGCTAACCGAAAATTGTGTGCACGCTGTAAACAACCATCACCTACTGAGAGAAGAGAGGTACCGAGCTGAACGAGATGGCTGTTATTGAGTACTTCTGTCATGACTGGATGGCAAGGAGAACCTAAAATGCAGGCAGATAGGCAGGCAAAACTCAAAGTAAACTAGACATGGGTTTTTACGATGTAAAAACAAGTGTGCATTGCAATGTAGCATGTCTTTGCCTGTAGCATTGGACTTGCAGAATGAAATGTGACCAAGTACAAATGTGTTTCTATACCAGCTTGTGCCTGTCACATGAGCAGGTGTTTGTAATTAAGGTAATTTTGTGACAATATGAGGTTTGAAGAGATTTGTTGTTAAAGTTGCTTTAGCTGGGTTTTGAACCCTGATCTCACACATGAAAGTCCATGGCGTTGACCATTGGACCATTGGAGCTGTGGCAGAAGGTGGTGGCAGGGGTTGGTTTGTATGTGTGCAGAAAGAGGCCACATTGCCAATACAATTATTGACACTAAACTGCACAATATTACAACAATAGAGCGGTATTAAGACAATATTATAGTAAAACATCCAAATACAATCATATTAGTATTGTAAACACTGAACAATTGAGATTAAATTTTATTAAAGTATGGAGCAGTACCAAGTTGAGTACAGCATGGGGCAGTATTGGACCATTACAAGGCCCCATTGACTCCCATTATATGAATTT